GAGAGAGAGAGAGAGAGAGAGAGAGAGAGAGAGAGAGAGAGAGAGAGAGAGAAGAGAAGAGAAGAGAAATCAGGAAAACACATACCTGTCACTCGAAAAAAAAAAAGCTCAGACTTCAATTTTCATTCTCTTTTTTTTCGCTCAGAACAGCGAACGTTTTCACTGGAGACCCCAATGTCACAGCGATAGCAAAAAGAGTTCCAATGCACAGAACGTCGAAAGAAAAAACGGAACATCCTTTCCTCCTCCCTCCCCCTCCCTCCCCCTCCCTCCCCCTCCCTCTATTCCCCCCCACCCTCGAAAGAAAAAAACGGAACATCCTTTCCTCCTTCCTCCCCCTCCCTCTATTCCCCCCCACCCTCGGGGCAAAGAGGGTGGGGGGGAATAGAGGGAGGGGGAGGGAGGAGGAAAGGATGTTCCGTTTTTTTCTTTCGACGTTCTGTGCATTGGAACTCTTTTTGCTATTGCTGTGACATTGGGGCCTCCTGTGAAAACGTTCGCTGTTCTGATCGAAAAAAGAGAGAATGAAAATTGAAGTCTTGAGCTTTTTTTTTTTCGAGTGACAGGTATGTGTTTTCCTGTTTTCTCTTCTCTCTCTCTCTCTCTGTGTTCTCTTGCCTCTTCTCCCTTCTGTCTTTCTTCTGTCTTCTCTCTTCTCTTCTCTCTTCATTCGGTATGATATCTTTGCTTTTGGGTTATTTGTGGCCCTGGAAAGGATGGGAATCAGTGCGGCGTCAAAGAAGGCAATCCTGTCCAGAGCTCTACCACAAGGCACTTCCAACGTTGTTGCTTGTTGGGAGCACGCTTGTGGTTCTGCAGTCGATCATTGTCTTGAAAAGTTGAGGAGAATCAGTGTTCACCGTGGTCATCGTCGACGCGAAGCAGAATGAGAAGGAGATCATCGTCGACGCGAAGCAGAATGAGAAGGAGATCAGTTACCAGCCTGGCCCAGGAATTGAATGCAGCTACACTGAATCAACTGCAGCTCAACAAATCTGAAATATATTTTGCTCGCTCCCTCCCTCCCTCCCTCTTTCTATTTCCAGCTCTACTATGTTCACTCGTGCAAAGGCATACACAAACCATCCTCTGCATACGTATTTCTATTGATACTTGTTATAGAGCATCTCAACTTTAACGTTATCTTCTTTAGCTGGTAGTTGTTAGTGGTAGCACCCTAACAATGCAAAACTGTACACGCACATGCAGACGTGTCTAAATGTCTGGCTGGCTATTGGCTGATTGGCTGGCTGGCTGGCTGGGTACTGGTAGTAGCTGATTGGCTGGCTGGCGATTGCCGATTGACTGGCTCGTTTAGGGCTGATTGTTGGCTGATTGGCTGCCGTATCCGTACGTTGATTGGGTGATTGACTGATTGGCTGACTGTTGGTTTGTAAAATGTTTGAATAGTATACAGTTTGGTTAACTGGTTGTAAGCTGTGGACATTTTGACTTCTGGATGAGTAGAGAAAATAAAATAAATAATATGCAGTTTCAGAGTGATGGTCCATACGCTCCTGCTAAAGGTTATGACTGTGGGGCGCGAAAGTGATTGAAACAAGCTGTTCTGTCCGGTCTAGTTATTTTATGCTCTCTGACCCTCTGTTGTATCATTGGCACCAGGTGTGGCAATCGACTTGGACTCGCAAAGTGTTGTGGCGGTGTCGAAAGGCTACGGCGATTGTGAACGAGGAGAGCAATCGTCAAAGAAGTGACGGCAGGATAAGAGCGAGAGGAGAGAAAGAAACCGGCATTTTGAAAGGACATGCGCCGGGAGTTTTCGTGATGGCGATCCCAACTGGGTCACGACCTCAGTCGAAAAATGTCATTGCCCGACTCGCAGACGTCGAAGGCAAATCCTTAGGGCCCCAGTTGGACTTGCCGCATGATGTGGGGCCTCCAGAACTGGAGGTATTGCTCAACAGCCTTCTACAGAATGAGGACAAGCTTCCTTACACATTCTACATAGATGACAGGGAGCTCGTCGGCGAACTTGGTGCCCATTTGCTTGAGCACAACGTGTCAGTTGAGACCATTCTGAAGATCGTGTATCAGCCCCAAGCAGTGTTTCGCATCCGACCTGTAACTCGTTGCTCAGCCACCATATCTGGTCATTCGGAGGCCGTTCTGTCCGTCAGTTTCAGTCCCGACAGCACCCAGCTGGCTAGCGGGTCAGGCGACACGACTGTCCGGCTATGGGATATATCCACTCAGACACCTTTGCACACCTGTCCTGGGCATACAAACTGGGTCCTTTGTATATCATGGTCACCTGATGGCGCTCTCCTTGTAAGTGGAGGCATGGATGGGGATCTCCGGCTGTGGAACCCCAAATTGGGGATCGCTGTCGGAGGCCCTTTGAAGGGGCATAAAAAGTGGATAACTTCCATTGCGTGGGAACCGGCGCACATCCAGGTTCCTTGTAGAAGGTTTGTTAGTGGGAGCAAAGACGGCGATGTTCGGATTTGGGACACCGCAGTGAGGAAATGTATGGTCACAATGACCGGACACACATTAGCCGTGACTTGTGTGAAATGGTGCGGCGAAGGGCTCATTATTTCCAGTTCCCGCGACTGTTCCATCAATGTGTGGGAGCCGTCCCAAGGGAAACTTGTACGCCAGCTGAAGGGTCATGGTCACTGGGTGAACACTCTGGCGATCAGCTCAGAGTTCGTCCTGCGCACTGGCCCGTTTGACCATACAAAGAAGAAATATAAATCCGCAGACGAGATGAAGGAAGCTGCACTTCAGCGGTACGAGACAGCCAAGGGATCGGTACCAGAGCGCATGGTTTCTGGGTCCGACGACTTCACCATGTTCCTCTGGGAACCTACGGCGAGCAAACAGTCAAAAGCTCGAATGACAGGCCACCAGCAGCTTGTCAACCATGTGTACTTTTCTCCGGATGGCAGATGGATTGCCAGTGCTTCTTTTGATAAGTCAGTCAGGTTATGGGATGGGTATTCAGGCAAGTTTGTGGCCACTTTCAGGGGACATGTTGGACCTGTGTATCAAATTAGTTGGTCTGCGGATTGCCGGCTTCTGGTGAGCGCAAGTAAGGATAGTACTTTAAAGGTGTGGGATATGAGAACCCGCAAGCTGAAAGAGGATCTGCCCGGACATGCAGACGAAGTCTTTGCCGTGGACTGGAGCCCGGACGGGGAAAAAGTCGCGTCTGGGGGCAAGGATCGCGTATTGAAACTCTGGATGCATTAACTCTGAAATTTTTAATGCATTCTCTTTTGCATCACATCATCTTCTGCTGTTGAGATTGGCGGAAAGGAAATATCGTGTTGTTCTTTTCTCACTTGGTTGGCAATTGTTGCAGCTGTTGCCCTTGTGGCCCTTGTCTGTTCTGTTGTTGGGTGGTACATTTCCTATACAAAACTCCGTCTCTGTTTCTCTCTCTGTCTCTGTTTCTGTCTCTATCTCTGTCTCTGTCTCTCTGTCTTGCGCGTGCGTGCACGCACCCACACCCACACTCTCTTCTCTCTCATACACGCGTACATACTCAGTGTTGCTCTGTGATGGCCCACCTGAGATTCGGCTTGCATGTTATTGGCATGCTTTGTGTCGTGAGGATTATGAAGGTATAGCCCATGCAAGCTTTTGTTTTCATATGTATGATAACAGTCAGAATTGTACTCATGTACAACACCCTGACATGGTATGTCCTATTTGTAGACAGAGGAAGGAACGGCAATGCCTATACAATTGTGGTCGGCATGCCTCTGTGTTTCCTAGCATCTAGGAGCCACACATAGCGTGTGACATCTGTCTACACCATTCCATTCGATCCAGCAATCGCAACTGCGAGAATTGGATGCGGTTGGTTGCCGTTGGATGCGGTTGGATGCGGTCCTTTCAGAGTCCACACCTGAACCGGTCTTGTCCAGCCTACAGGGATGCGGTCCTACCATAGGCAACGGCTGCTCCTCATTTCAAATTTCCCTGGCTTCTTGTGCCATTCTAAAGTAGTCTGCCCCAGCAGTGAGTATTGAGAACCCTACTCTGTTCTATTCCTTTTCCCTCCACTTCCCTCCTCTTCCCCTTCTCCCTCCCCTGCCCCTCCTCTTCCCCTTCTCCCTCCCCTGCCCCTCCTCTTCCCCTTCTCCCTCCCCTGCCCTTGCTTCTGTAAGAACTGGAAACCCTACCCCTTTCCTTCTTCCCTCCTCTTGCGTAATGCATACGAGTGAGAGAACCTGCAAAATAGAAACTGAACATCAGTCAAAAAATGAACAGGAGTATATCTCCCGCTTTACTGTGCCGCCTGTCATAGTGTGCTAGTGGCCGTTGTGGCCCATGGGGGTGTGAGCAGCTTGTGCTCAACAAGAATATACGTGGCAATGTATGTTGGAGGCACAGTGAAAGGGGAGCTGCAAGAACAAATGAAAGGGATACCCCAAAGAAAGCCAAAGCAGAGATAGCTAAGAAAAGGATGTAACGGGTTTATGGTGCGTCATGTTGTTTGCTATGGAGGTAAAACTCCCATTGTTGGATTGGCTCATCTTTAGTGTGTTTCATTGTCTGCAATAGACATAAAGCTGCTTCGATTTTTATTTTATTTTATTTTATTTTATTTTTTCGCTTCGATTTGGGATCTACTTATTCAGGTGGAAAATGGGCTGTTGTGGTGGCAATTTACAACACCCACACAATCAGTTTTATGTAGGTCTTTCTATTTTCTTTTTCCCCTTTTTCTTCGAAAGGGCGTCAGCCTTGAGATATCGTCTTGAAACTGACGGGTCCTGGGTAATTAAAGAATTTTATTTGTCTGGCTCCATCTGGATTCGAACTCAGGTCTGCATTTCAACAGTTTATGGGTGTACCAACTGAGTGAGCTAAGACCGTCGGTACCAGGTCTTTCTATGTTTTTTTTGTACGTCTTTCTACCTGTTTTTTTTCTTTTTCTTTCTGTATCTTCCTTCCTTCTAGTTTTCCTAACTACTTTTTGCCTGTCTAAGCGAGCACCTCTAAATACTGTCAAATAGTCGGTGGTTCCTTGTTTGGAGTGCCTGAAGCATGACTAGGGGGGCTGCTCTGTTCCTTTATTTGTTTGGTTTTAGCATATATATATATATATCTTTTTTAATTTAAGACGGAGCCTACGACCGGACTTGAACCGGAGGCCTTTCCCTTACCAAGGTAATGCTCTACCACCTGAGCTACGTGGGCTCACGGGGAAATTGGAGACGATCGGACTTCAACCGATAACTTCATACTTGCAAAACATGCGTTCTACCACTTGAACTACGCCCCTGACGGAACGGAGGAAATGGGATTTGAACCCATGATACAATCTTGTTGTATGTTGATTTAGCAAACCAATGCCTTCAGCCACTCAGCCATACCTCCCGGGAAAAACGGGATTTGAACCCGCGACTTCTGGTGTGACAGACCAGCACTCTAACCAACTAAGCTATTTTCCCATCTGGGTAATAACGGACTTGAACCGCTGGCTGATGTCTGTGTGTTGCATATGGTCTATGGGTGATGACTGACATTTGTCCTGGCTCAGCAGGTGGTGGGAACCAACAATCTGCGGGGTTCACTTGTGGTGTGAGTAGGTGATTTACTGCTTTGCTCCACAAAATTGATCTGCATTCCACTGCGGGACTGCGGGCTTGCTGCCCATCCTCCTTGCTTCCCATGCCGTTCTTTGCAACTGGTGTGTGTTTGATGTGTAGTTTGGCTGGGTTGTTGGTGTTGCCTTGTGCTTCGCTGTGCTGTTGCCATGCTGCTTTCTGCGTGCCTTGTCTTCCCGTGCACTTAGCTTGTGTGGCGTGTGGTTTGGCTGCTCTGGCAGTGTTGCCTTGTGCTTCACTGTGTTGTTGGCTTGCTGCCTGCCCGCGTGCCTTTCGTTCCATGCAGCTGGCTTTGGTGTTGTGCAGTTGCGCTGCCCTTGTAGAGTTGTCTGGTGCATCGCTGCATCATTGCCTGCTGCTATGTTCCGCTTGTGGTGTTGCCTGCAGGCAGTCTGCTTTCAACAAAGGTGAGAGGGTTCATGACCCAAAGCATCAATATGGGGATTCAACAGCTTGTTGAGGGTTTAGCCTCCTGACGAGTCGCGGTGCAAGTCCTACGAAACAATCTATCATCATCTTTTTCTTTTTTTTTCTTTTTTTTTGAAGGCTCCTTCTATTATGGGGAGCAGCAGTCCGGTTCCTATTTCACCGGTTAGTCAAATAATCGTAAGTGCAACTCTTACCCACGCTTCCCTACGTTATGGCCCAGGAAACCCTGACAGCGTTGGTTTCTTCCCTCGGGAAGGATTCACTGCCAGTTAAGCCCATCCTTGGAGTAGATTCCCACTCCCCAAACAAACATTCTCAAAATCCAACCCCAAGTTTTCCTCTCTATTGATGCAAAAGCCCTAAACCCTCGACCTCCTTAATCTGAAGCTAGGCTTACCCCCATGGCAACCATGTCACTATGCACCGAGCGAGCTTCCTCCAAGAAGCTTGTGGTGTGGGTTTCACATGCCCCTGAGTACCACTCGCACTTGAGAAGTTTCCCCTGTAGTGTGACCAGTTTCCTGTTGCCCGAGGTCTTTGTCAACCATGTTCTGCCTTTTCTCTGGCTCTTTTTCAGTCCGCCTGATATGCCCTGTTCAGACCGTGTTTGAGTTCATACCTGGCATGCCGCCAGGGAACTTCTTGTGCGTCAATGGTTTCCTTGCATCTTTGCTTCCAGACGACCAAGAGCACCAAGGGTCTGAGCCCCCTGTAGAACTTCTGCACCCACTTTTTTCAATACCTCGGGTCTGTGTGAAACCAGTAAGCAGAGCCAACGGATCCTCTGTGAGCTGCGTGCCCGTGACCGGACTCCATAGCTCCTTTGGCTCGGCGCCAGATTTGTTGAGCTTTGGGGGAGTGCCAGCATGCAGTGCAGCATGCTGGCACTCCCCCATCACAGATCAAGCAGCATTCGCCTGTTGGCCTATGCTCTCCTCCCGCTCAGCCACTTATTAACCGGGAGTGCCTGATATGTTAGGAGCCGTTGCATGCTTCTGACCCGAGTGTTGCGAATCGCCAGCACTGCTGGCCAGGGAATTTGAGTCAATCGACACAGTTTCCTGGGACAGTGTGATCCCGTGCTGGAGCAGTGTCTCCCGGGTATTTGCTGGTCTGTGTCTCAGCCTATATCCCAGTCGCATGGAGTAGTCTACGTAGTATGCTGTTGTGGTGGCCAATGCAGGATGCTGCAGAGATGAGTTCCCAGGCCCATTCTGCTGAATGGAACTCCAGGCCCTGCAGAGGTATTCCAGGGTCGAAGATCCTAAAATGCTCGTCCTCGATTACCCTGACTTTCTGGAGGCAGCTAAGACGGACGGCTGCCTGGGCCGGTCTACTCAATGTTGTGCAGGCCCATCAGCCCCCATTCCTGCTGAGGGCCCACTCACTTCATGAAGGACAACGCCACCAGGGGGGGATCGCCCTCCTGGGTGCCGTGGACAGGATTGTTACTGAGGACTGAGGGATGGATAGAAGGATGTCGTTCAGATTCTGCTGTAGCTTGTGGCAGCCCTTCACCTGTTCCCGCATCTCGAGGCAAGTCTTCCACCGTTTCTGATCTGTGTGCTAGAGATGTTTTATTTGCCAGACGCCTCTCTCTACTCATGTGGCCCAGCGTCTGTCCCGAGCTGTCAGTGTCCATGGTTTCTGTGCACTCTCCAAGAGCCATTGATTGCAGAAAAGGTGCTGCCTGAGCCGTTCTTCCCTGGCGCAGGCCGTTTTCACCTCTGCAGGGAAGATTTCCCGCCATGTCTTCATGGGTTGTGACCAGTATTCATTGCTGATCGACTGAGCCTCACCCGTTCCCACTTCCCTTCTACCTGCCCAAGATTTGGACATAAGCTAAAAGAGTCCCTGCATGTTTGGGGGTGGGGGAGTCGCCAGTAACTGTCTGATCCCATGCTGTCCCAGTGAGACCAGGGGAGGTCTCGCTGGGTAAAGAGTTTGAATACCCATTTGGTTTGGAGGGCTCTAGTCTGGATCTGCAGATCCAATATATCAAGGCCACCATGGCCTTTAGGCTGGGTCACGTAGTTCCACGCCACTTTAGTGATGAAGTTCTGCTTTGCCAGATTGCCCGTCCATAGATAAGCAGCCGCGCTTTGTCTAAGAGTCTTCCTCATATGAGTCTCGGGAGTCCACACCATGGCCGCGTACCACAACATGAAGTAGATTGAGGCATTAAACCACCAGTACCTCGGGCACTACGTGGCCGCGGGCCCCTCACTGCAACTTTCGGAGGCACTCGTGAGAGGACGCCCTCGGCACAGCCGAGGTCCCACTGTTGTTCCTTCTTTTGTGTGTTTTATCACACATAATTCTCTTTTTCTTGGGGGGGGGGGGGGGGGGGGGGGAACTTCACGATAGGGTAGGGGCAAGTCCGTTTGGTTGAAGAGTATGATTGACGCTTAAGGCTGAGCTGTCTGTGAGATAGCCCTTTCGACGAGTTGTAAGTGATGGCGAATGTGGCTATAAGACCAAGTTACCCGTCGGGCGTGGGT